TAAGATGACAATATTATTCAAAGTGACCCACAGATTTAAAATGATCCCTTTGAAAATCCCAACAATGTTTCTGCAGAAATAGAAAAAGTCATCCTAAAATTCATGAAATGTGAATGAACCATGAATAGCCAATCCAATTTTGAAAAACAAGAAAAAAGTTGGAAGATTCACACGTCCTAATTTCAAAACTTATTACAAATTTACAGTAATCAAAACAATTACTGCTGGCATAACAACAGCCATATAGACCAATGGAATTGAGAGGCCAGAAACAAATCTTCACATAAATTTTTTTTTTTTTTTTGACGGAGTCTAGCTCTGTTGCCCAGGCTGGAGTGCAGTGGCGCAATCTCGGCTCACCGTGACCTCTACCTCCCAGGTTCAAGCGATTGTTCTGCCTCAGGCTCCTGAGAAGCTAGGATTACAGGCGTGTGCTACCACGCCTGGCTAAATTTTGTATTTTTAGTCGAGATGGGGTTTCGTCATGTTGGCCAGGCTGGTATCAAACTCCTGATATCAGGTGTTCCACCCACCTTGGCCTCCCAAAGTGCTGGGATTACAGGCATGAGCCACTGTGTCCGGTCTTTTTTTTTTTTTTTTTTTAAAGAAAAACAGAGATGGGGTTTTGCTATGTTGACCAGGCTGGTCTTGAACTCCTGCCCAGGCTGGTCTCAAACTCCTGGACTCAAGCAATCCTCCTGCCTCAGCTTCCTGTATAGCTGGGACTACAGATTGGCTATTCATGGTTCATTCACATTTCATGCCACTGTGCCCAGGTCTAATTGATTTTTGACAGGGGTGTCAAGACCATTCAATGGGAAAGGACAGTGTTTTCAAAAAATGATCCTGGGAAAGCTGGATATCCACATGAAAAAGAATGAAGTTGGAGCCATAACTTACACTATATACAAAAATTAACTCCAGATAGATCAAAGACCTAAACGTATTACAAAAGCTAAAACTATAAAACTCTCAGAAGAAAACGTATGAGAAAAGCTTCATGACATTGGTTTTGACAGTGATTTCTCGGATTATCACACCACAAACAACAACAAAAACCACATTAAATTGGGCTTCATCAAAATTAAAAACTTTTGTACGTGAAAGGACACTGTATCAAGGGAGTGAAAAGGCAACAAACAGAACGCAAAAGTCTGCTAATCACATACACAATAAGGGACGAATATCCAGAATATGCAGAGAACGTCCACAACTTAAAAAAAAAATTCAAAAGCGGGCAAAGGACGCGAAGAGACCTTTCTGCAAAGAAGATACATGAATAGCCAAGAAGCCCATGGAAAAATGCTCAACATTACCAATCGTTAGGCAAATCAAAACCACAATGAGATGCTACTTTACACATATTAGGATGGCTATTATCCAAAAGTATGAAAAACAACAGGTATTGGTGAAGATGTGGATAAACTGGAACCCTCTGTGTGCTGCTGGTCGGTGTGTAAATAAAATGGTGCAGCGACTGTGGAAAAGTTTGCTGGTTCCTCAAAAACTTAGACACAGATTTGCCATATGATCCAACAATTCTACACAGCAGCATTACTCATCATAACCCAAAGGTAGAAACAATCAAGCATCCATCAACAGATGAATGAATGTATAAAGAAAATGTGGCATTTACTTATGGAATACTTAGCCTTAAAAAAGAATAAAATTCTGATACATATGACCACAAGGATGAACCTTGAAATCTTTATGCTAAGCGAAGTAAGCCAGATATAAAAGGACAAATATTATATGATTCTACTATGAGTTACCTAGAATACGGAAATTCATAGAGACAGAAAGTAGAACAGAGGTTACCAGCGTGGGGAGAGAGAAAAAAACGGGAAGGAACTGTTTCATGGGTATAGAGTTTCAGTTTGGGATGATAAAAATGCTCCAGACAAAGTGGTGATGGTTGCACAACAATGAGCATATACTTAATGCCACTGATTTGTACATTTAAAAGTGACTGAGGGTAAATTTTATACCATGTATATTTTGCCGCAGTTGAAAAAAAAAAGCTACAACCCTCCTGCAAGGGTATTTGGCAATATCTAACCAAACTACACAACTTTTTTTTAACCAAATAATCCCACTTCCAGGAATTTATCCTGATGACATGTCTCCAACAATACAGAAAGACATACACATAACATTATTCACTGTAGCTTGTTTATAACTGCAAATATTGGGAATAACCTATATGCCCAACATAAGTAGAAGATAAAATAAAGTTGGTATATACAATGCTCTACTATGCAGCTAAAAAATAAAAATGTGCTTTATGAATTGATATGGAATGGTTTCCAGGATATACTTTTTTTTTTTTTTTTTTGAGACAGGGTCTCACTCTGTCACACAGACTGGAGAGTGCAATGGCCTGATCTCAGCTCATTGCAACCTCCACCTCCTGGTTTCAAGCGATTTTCACGCCTCACCTTCCCCAGTAGCTGGAATTATAGGCGCATGCTACCATGCCCTACTAATTTTTGTATTTTTAGCAGAGACAGAGTTTCGCCATGTTGCCCAGGCTGGTCTCAAACTCCTGACCTCAAGTGATCCGCCCACCTTGGCCTCCCAAAGTGCTGGGATTACAGGTGTGAGCCACTGCACCTGACAAGGATATACTTTTAAGTTGAAAAAATAAAGTGTAAAAGAATAATGCTGTCCTTCAAGTAAGAAAAAATGTCACATAAGAAAATACACATGTATCTGCTCATTTGTGCAAAAAGAAATCCAGAGAGAGGGTAGAAATGGAAGGCAGAGAATGAAGGAGTCAAGCACACTTCCAAGTGTCCCTCTTGGGATGTGGGCTCTCTAGGAACAACAGTTATGTTCCCAGAACCCCCACATAAAAACAGTGTATAGAAACCATGATGTGAGGGCACAAAATGAAATAGAAACCACTAGCCTGAGTAACTGGAAAACAGTATCTTGACAGTAAAACTAAACACAAAAAGAACTGTACATAAGGTACTTTGTTAGGAAATTTCTCAAAGGGATATGGATTAGCAATTGTGAAGTTACTTTTTGTGTATATTAGGATTAAACAAATTAATCCATTTTAGATAAGTTAGTCAGGTTTCTCTCTGTAAGATGAAGAAAGGGCTCCTTGGAAATACAGTTGATCTAGGGTTGGGTCAGAGAAAACACAAGTTGAGCCTGGTTCATCCAGAAGTGCCATAAAGTAAGAAAATAATTAAAAAACTATTAATTGGGTATGTTGAGAGGACACAGGAGGCAAACTGAAGGAGCTTCCAATGGCTGAAGCTTGGGTTTTGAGCAACAAAATAATGTTAGTATCATAGAAAAATAACTTTTTTTGAGACATTCTCACTCTGGTCACCCAGGCTGGAGTGCCGTGGTGTGACCTTAGCTCACTGCAGCCTTGACCTCCTGGGCTCAGGTGATTTTCCCACCTCAGCCTCCTGAGTAGCTGGGACTATAGGCACCTGCCACTATGCCCAGCTAATTTTTGTATTTTTAGTAGAGACGGGGGTTTCACCACATTGCCGAGGCTGGTCTCGAACTCCTGACCTCAAGTGATCTGTTGCCTCGGCTTCCCAAAGTGCTGGGATTACAGGCGTGAGCCACGATGCCTGGTCATAATAATAATATTATTAATATTATAACAACAGAATAAAATAAAATATCCATAAGCCCATACTGATGTAATTATTAATAACTGAATAAGTGAGGAAAAGGGATAGTTTTTCTTAGAGCAGAAAGTTAATTAACGTATACAGAAGGAATGATGGAAATAGAAAATCATGATCAGGTAAACCCTACAGTAGTAACTGTTACAGGCAGAAGCCAACAATGGATGCTAAAATTAGTGGGTGAGGAGATGTCGGCATAGACTCAAAGAGACTTATTAATTAGAAAAGAAAAAAAATAGCAATTTTTTAGTGAAGAAAACTGGCAGCACCTTAAGGAAGTGATCAAAGTTAACATTACCAGCAATAAGACAAAATGATACCATGTACCCCTGCTTCACTGACACGATGTAGTTAGAAGAGCATCACCGTTTCTGTGGTATTCCTGACAGAAATACACAGCCTCGGTGGAATCCCTAGGAAACATTAGACAAACTCAGACTGATGGACGTTCTACTACACTGGCTAGAACTCTTGACAATGTGCCAAGGAAAGACACAGACAGAGTAACCGTCACAGATGGAGAAGGCTAAGGATACTTGACAACTAAAAGCAATATGGGAAACTGGATCATAAAGAGGACCTTCATGGCAAAACTAGAGATACTGGAATTAGGTCTATAGCTTAGTTAATAATAGTGTTATCTGTGTTAATTTTCAGTTTCACTCTGGCTTTGAGAGATGTTGGCATTAGGGGAATCTGAGTGAATGGCACATAGGAAACTCTATCATTTTTATAATGTTCTGTAAGTTTAAAGTTATTTAAAAAGAAAAAGATCTATGGCATATCTAAATCTTTGATGACCATAGTTTCATGGATTCATAACTATTCACCAAGCTAAATTAATACTACTACTAAGTTAGAAAATCTTGAGAGAAAGTGTAAGTCTTCCCTGTCTGCAATCTCTACCACTTGTTTATACCTTTATAATGAGTGTTCCAATTGATATGCTAACATGGTTTTTTCACCCATGACAGTCCATTCCAAGAGAACAGGGACCAAGATACAGTTGCTTCTACCTTGTGACTTGCATATTTTTGTCAAAAGTAAATGCTGTCTGGTATAGTGCCATGTGCCTGTAGTCCCAGCTACTTGGGAGGGTGAAGCAGAGGATCGCTTGAGCCCAGGAGTTTAAGGCCAGCCTGGGCAACAAATCAAGACCCCATCTCCAAAAATTAAATAAAATTTAAAACATTTTAAATTTAATATTCTTGCATTAAAAAGAGCTATAATAAAACAAAAAAAATACATCCTAAAATATTTTTAAAAAGTAAATGCTGAGTGCATTGCGAATGAGTGAACAATATGTAAAAGATCTCAATACTATAGGAATTATTTACTTACGCTCCACAAAGGAAGTAAAGAGCATTCGAAACCTGCTAAGCCGACTACCTTCATCTGCCCACATTCGAATCACTCCAATTCCTGTTTTAAGCATTACATCATTGGCCACAGTGCTGCAAAACTTGGCCTTCAGGTTTTCAATAGAACTGCTTCCATCATAGACTGCAACGAAGTTTCTCTTGCATTCATTTGAGTGCTCCATTTGATAATCTAGGAACCTCAAATAAATCTGTAGTATTAACACAAAAACACTGCTTTTAAAAAGATACATTAATTTGAATTTTTCTATTTCTATTTTCCACAGACAACATGGTACACCCAATAATAACAGCTGACAGAAAACCATAATAGATAAATGGCTGATGCCTAATAGTTAGAGGAACTAAGATTAATGATCTGTTTCTTTGGTTGTCTTAATAATGGAACCAAGCATTAAGGAACTTACTTTGTGTTTTGTCTATAAAGAGAAGAAACTTTTTGTTCACAAGGCATAACTATCTCACATTTTTCTCATTATAAAAGCAATCTCATGGTACTGGACAGGGGAGAAAATAAAATAATCACTCATAATTCTATTATTCCAACAATGCATGTGATTAGTGAATTTCTTTTCAGTTTTTCTGCACATTTAAAAAACCTGTGTTTAATTGTAAGATATACACATCCTACTTTGGCTGTATCATATAAAAATGTTTTTATCTGTATTCTTAGCCATACCTATTCCCAGATGTCCTATTATTTATTTACACAATAACCTACTGTTCTACATGGTTGCTTTATGATTTCACCTCTTAACAATATCTGCATTTTCAGACAGGCAGACATCAACTGTACTATCAAAGGAAGCTCTGTTAGCATCCCCCCATTCGAATTTTATAGCTAAATGGTACTAAGTTATTTCCTAAACACTCTCGATCCATTGTTGTTTGACAATTTCTCTTACATTGTGAACTTGGATTTTAAACATTAATCTCCAGAAGAGCCTAATGAAGTAGGTATCACATTTTTTTGTGGGCAGAGATGAATCTGTTATTCGGTGGCAAGGATTAAACCCAGGTTGGTCTGACTCTAAATGTGCGTCCTTCCCATTCCATGAGGTGCTTTACATACTCACACAGTGTTCCCTGTTTGGGCTCTAGTTGCTCATATGTGACTCTACGATTAAAATAAAATTTGAGTGAGTAAATAAAGATTACCTTTGAATTGCCATTCAAGACATCTAATGAGTATTCACTTCCTAGCTATTACTCTGAGGGAGCAGTATGCCACCCCTATCCTTTAATTCAAAGGGATTAATAAAACAAAAATGTTATGTCATATATTCTCCCCCACTCCACCAAATACCTTGATGGCATAATACTAAGAGAGAACAACTTACAAAATACAGCTTAAAGAATTAAATTTTGACTAAATAATTTTGGTTTCTTTGAAATGACTGGTTCACCACTTCCGTGAGAGTGGTGGAAAATTAGTAATGAAAAGAGATTTCCAGTTCAAAACTTTACAAACTCTTCATGCATGTATTTTAACATAGAAGCAATATGTTTTCTTAAATACATCATCAGTTCTCATTAGTTTTCCATCACTTATATAACCCAAACCCTCTGCTCACACTCTGTGGTAGGGAGCACTAATGCTGTAATAACTTCCCTTTTCCACTAGACTGTGATGTCTTCCAATGGAAGGTCACTGGCTCAGTTTCATCCAGCATAATTCTTGCTCATGGCAGGCAATGAGAAAGTGACTAGGCTTGTAAAATTATGACTTGGTAGAAGTATCAGTAAAATAATCAAGCTGTCTCAAGTATTTATATTTACTCTCTGCTTTTCTTTTAATCCAAATAAATACGGTATTATATAAGGCTATAGTAAATGCTCTTCAAAGACATATTTTTTAAAAAACATGAAGATAAATTATAACAAATCATAGTACTTTTCTATTGTAAATATTGAATTGTTTAATTCAACAAATTTTTGGGAAATATTCATAACGTAAATCTGACAAATTGAAATGTTGGGAGAAGAGCATGAACTACTTTTCTTTTACTCCAGATTGCATGAGAAGGGATCTTTTATCAAGTAAGTGACCTCTTACCCTATCCCTGTATCCTACCCAGGGAGGCAGGGCAAGTTACCTGGATGGTGGGAGTTTGGTTTCTTTCTCCCTCCCCCCATAGGAAGTGGGACTGGGTAGGCCAGTCTGCTCTGCAGATGTGAACTTTCCCTGGAGTGGAATGGGCTGTTCTAGACTTCGGTGAGAGGTAGAACTGGTGGGTAAGGAGTTGGCAACACTAATTAGATCATCTCTCTGCATTGCTCTCTCTGTCCTAGCTTTCACTATGGTAAAGAGGCTTTTCCAACTCCCTACATGCTGACACTTTTATTTCTCAATTTGTTCAGCACTCCAGCAGAGAAAAGGGATGCTATTTATTGGAGCCCCTGAAGACCCCAACAGAAATGAAATCCCCAGAAAGCTACTATCATGAAAAGGCCACTGATGAAAGTGGACTAAAACACTAATGTATACTCTTAAACACCAATGCCTTCTTTTGTATATTTATTTTTTAAATATATTTTTAATTTAAAAAATAGAGACAGGGTCTTGCCATATTGTCTAGGCTGGTCTTGAACTCCCAGGCTCAAGTGATCCTCCTGCTTTGGCCTCCTAAAGTGCTGGCACTGCAGGCATGGGCCACCATGACTGGCTTCCTTTTCATATTTATAAATGGATATTTTTCTTAAACATCACCCATTAACTAGTTTCTCACATTTAGTATTCAAGGGTTTTGGTGACCTTTACCATTTAATTTAGATTTCTTAAATAAAACCATCTATTTACACTTTTTTTTTTGTTTCCTTTTTTTTAGCCAGAGTCTCACTCTGTCTCCCATGCTGGAGTTCAGTGGCATGATCGCGGCTCTCACTGCAGCCTCCATCCCCCAGATTCAAGAGATTCTTGTGCCTCAGACTCCTGAGTAGTTGGGACTACAGGCGTGCACCACCATGCCTGGCTAATTTTTTGTATTTTTAGTAGAGATGGGGTTTTGCTATGTTGCCTAGGCTAGTTTTGAACTCTTGACCTCAAGTGATCCACCTGTCTCAGCCTCCCAAAGTGCTGGGTTTATAAGCATGAGCCACTGTGCCTGGCCTATTTACACATTTAAACATTTAAAATTTTAAAATTTGATCCAATTCCCATGTCAACTGTATAATTTTTTTAACTTTAAATAACTGATTTACTTTAATTAAAAGCAATACAACATTCTTCTATAGTCAATATTCCAGGTAATACTCCTAAAAAATTTGTGAATATGGAATTATCTTTTCATGAAATATTTCAATTTGGAGTAAGGAGATCTAATAAATATTGTTTAATTTCACTTAGTTAATGCACATTTAATATTTTCATACTTACATATCTATAAAAACATGTTGTATTGTTCCATATATTTTAAAACCTCATACCAATAATAGAAATAAATCACTGTGTATCCATTCTCCTATTGGGCATTTAGCTTGCTTCTACTTTTATAATTAGCTAATATTGCTGTAAACATTGTTGTCTTCTCATTATGCATAGGTATGACAATTTCATTTGGGTATAAATCTAGAAGTATACTCGTGTGGTAGCATGTGACTATTTTCAGCTTTACCACAGCACATGTGAAATAGCTCTCCAAAGTGGTTGTACCAATTTATATATATTTTTTCTCTTTACAGTTGAATCCTAATGAGACAATTTATACTTCTAAAGCAAATTCTTTGAGTCTGCTTGCTTTACTCAATCCACTACTCAGTCCTTGCTGACACTTCAAGAACAGTTCCACAACTCACTCAAATTCTCCTGTGCTGTTACTGTGCAGTCAAAACCCATCTCCAGTCTTCATCCCCGGTAAGCAATGATCTGTTCTTTGTCCTGTAGTTCACTTTTTCCAGAATTTCATATAAATGAAATCACACAGCATGTATCCTTTCAGTCTAGATCATTTCATTTAGCATGATGCATCTGGAGTTAACGTAGCTATAGTTTGTCCCTTTTTATTGTTGACTAGATTTTACTATATGGATGTACCACAGTTTATTTATTTCTTTATTTTTTGAGATGGAATTTTTGCTCATCATCCAGGTTGGAGTGCAGTAGTGTGATCTGGGCTCACTGCAACCTCCACCTCCAGGGTTCAAGCAATTCTCCTGCCTCAGCCTCCCAAGTAGTTGGGATTACAGGCACCTGCCACCAGGCCCGGCTAATTTTTTGTATTTTTAGTAGAGATGGGGTTTTACCATGTTAGCCAGGATGGTCTTGAACTCCTGACCCCAAGTGATCCCCCCGCCTCAGCCTCCCAAAGTGCTGGAACTATAGGTGTGAACCACCGCACCTGGCCTATTCTTTCAAAAGCTAAAGAACACTTGAAACATTTCTAGTTTTTGGTTATTACAGATAAAGTTGTTATGAATATTTACACACAGGTTTTTTCCATGAACATAAGCTTTCATTTCTCCCGGGTACCCATCCAGAAGAGACTGCTGAGTCACACAGTAACTTTATAGGAAACCACCAACTTGTTTCCCAGAGCGGCTCTATCATTTTGCACTCCTACCAGGAATGTAACAGAGTTTCAGCTGCTCTACAGAGTTCCCAGCACTGAGTGATTTTTCTAAATTACAGTTATTCTAACAGAGAATAGTGCCATCTCATTGTGGTTTGAATTTGCATTTTTGTAATGATTAAATCTTCTGTGGTGAAGTATCTGTTAAAATCTGTTTTATAATTGGGTTTTGTTCTTATTGTTGAGTTTTGAGTTCTGGATGAAAGATATCTTTTCATAGGTGATTTTTTTCCCTCCCAGTCAGTGGCTTTTTTTCCCCCCCACTCAACAGTGTCTTTCACATAAAAAAGCTTTTTCATTAGTCCAATTTATAAATTTTTATTTTTATTTTTCTTTTCTGAGATGGAGTCTTGCTCTGTTGCCCAGGCTGGAGTGCAGTGGCGCGATCTCGGCTCACTGCAAGCTCCACCTCCTGGGTTCACACCATTCTACTGCCTCAGCCTCCCGAGGAGCTGGGACTACAGGTGCCCACCACCACGCCCAGCTAATTTTTTGTATTTTTAGTAGAGACGGGGTTTTACCATGTTAGCCAGGATGATCTCAATCTCCTGACCTTGAGATCCGCCCGCCTCAACCTCTCAAAGTTCTGAGACTACAGGTGTGAGCCACCGTGCCCAGCCTAA